GATAATATACTTTATTAAAATCATTATTATAATTTTTCTGTAAACGATTTTTTAGTTAGTTTTTTTATTATTTTTTTGTTATTCAGTAGATGCCAATTTAAAAAAAAAATGATTACATATCGCTCAGGTGTAATAGTATTAATTGCTTTAGTACTCTTATTTTCAAATATGTAGTGTAATAAGAGCGTATTTGTTAATGTCAATATCAAGTTGTGTGGGACAATAGGAAATGTTCGTAATTATATTATTTTTCATTTACGTTACCATCATATGTTTTCTTATTAACTACCGAATTTATGAATCGTCAGAATTTTTAAATTTTTCATGAAAACATTCAAAAGAAAATAATTTTCGTGGCTGTGTAATTAATACTTTGAATGTATAAATAACGCTTTAATAGCAAAGTGATGGTGACTTAAGACAATATAAATATTTTCTTTATATTTTAAAAAGTTTTCTATTGAATACCACACTATCTTAATTGGCGTTTAATTGATTAATAAAATTGATAATATTCATTCATGAACTTCAGACATCTTTTTTAAATCTTTTATAGTATTATATGACAATGGCTCTCGCCTTATTTGGTTGTCGAAACAATGTTTGTTGTACCTATTAGTTTTGGTGATAATAAAATTGCGCACCTAGTAAATATTTTTTTATCATTCACAAACGAAAAAGAACTGTAAGGGTGCGCATAATATTATTGTCATAAAAGCATATTAATGATTATCATAATTCATGATAACAAAATGTGACTGATAGTTCTGATGTTAAGATTTTAATATAATGTTGATATCAGGGTGTTTTTTGACATTTTTATATTAATAGAAAGTTTGAAATGCGAGCGGTACCTAAAATTTGTGTTGCAACTTATTAAATACAAAGCACATTGACCAAACGTTTTGTGATGTATAATAGTGCCTAAGCCCTTTATTTGGTGTCAGTAGATAAGCGTAATCTTTGAAATTTTCAATTCACTTTTTTGATTTTAAATTTGAACGTAATATATTCAATAATGTATGAAACACATTTGCTCTTTTTGTTATTTATGTTAGCCTGCCAATAGGTTCTGTATGCCTTAATTAAAGTTAAAATAAAGTTATAAGAAACTTCATTTATTTTTTGCAGTTTATTTCAAAAATAAAAAATTAGGCAACTAAAATTTCTTTTTAATGAAGTGTTGGTAAATTAACAATTTTTCTTTTAAGTTCACTGCTGTGCTTGCTTTTCTAAGACGCAATGATCAAAAACTAAAGCACTATTAATAACAATGATAATTAAAGATAACAAATTATATTTAAATTGTGTTAAAAAATATAAATAGACATTTAAAAATTTTATTCACCAAAATCAAAAAATAAGTATAATTTCAATAAAAAAATTAAGACAAACATTCAAACTAGGACAATACTGGCTTTAGAAAATTCCAAAATATTTTTAACGAAAAAACACTTTGTCTTATGCAACCCATCTTACATAGTATAATTTTTGGTATCGTAGTTAACATTGTATAAGTTGAAGCAGTCAAACTTCATCCAATAATCCTTGATAATCTCATTATGATCTCATTCCTCTGTGTTCACAACCATACATAACACAACATACTATTTTAGGTTAGATTTTGCAAGCATATGGTCAAAATTTGTTATAACGAAATTAATTAAAGATGGACAGTAAGGTGCCATTATACAACATTGTAAAGTTTGTTAAAAGCTCTAGTATTCCAAAAGAACGACTGGCTTCACTTAAACTGCCCAGAGATTTAAATTTAGGTGGCACCAAACCCAAGAAAATTTACGCACCTAATTTGAATGTAATTCGCAATAAAGATAAGTCCAGAGAGTAAGGCAGTTGTTTTATGTATTAATCAAATTACTTTAACTGTTTTTTGTAGGCATTTAAAAAAGTCCGAAAACATTAACCATAGGAGAGGAAATGACAGGAGAAATAACCATAAACAAAAAGAAATTAACCCTTCCAGATACATACAGTCCAGTGGAATTTTCTCGGAAGGAACAGCAGAAACTAAGAGATCCTCTCAGAGTTTTGGTGGAAGAGTATCAAATTATTCTGACCGTGACAATGTTGCTTCAATTGTTATGCCCAAACTTAACCGTAACTCATGGAATGTAAGTAAAAATTGATGTAGCTTTTTGTTTATATCAATCATTATAATGTGTTTTTAATGTCCAGGTTAATAAAACAGAGGAAGCTACAATTGCTACTGATCTTATGATGTGTGACGAAGATGATTCTAGCACAGATATTGAATATGAACCTGTGATCTTACCTTTAGATAGAAATAAGGGTAATCTATGACAAAGGTGGAAATATTCATTTACTGTAATATTGTTAATAACTTTTAGAGAAGTTTTCAAAGAATTTCACTGTAATGGATGATGAAATTAAAGTAAAAAAAGAAGTGAGTGATGAACTAGCGGGAACTGTCTCCACATTAACAAACAATAATTCACATTTAATTAATAAAGGTAAATTATCTTTGATTTGTATTATTTTTAAACTAATTTACTTTTTACTTTATACNCGTAAATAGTAACAACAAAATATTAAACAGAAAACGTGTGTATTAGGATATTTAATTTTTTTGAGCAATACAATAAGTTACTTATCAAAGCGTCATATTAATATGTTATGAATTATTTCTTACAAAAAATTCTCTTATTGTACCAAAGCAAAAAAAAAATAATTAATTTATAAATGAATTTACAAAAAATTGAAAAATTAACATCTTAATTCTAGTTATTTCTTCTTTTTTATGTAGACAGGTACTTTAATTGCCCAAGCTTGATACTTTTTCGTAATAAGTAAAATACTCTAGTTACCGAAGCTTACAGAGTGTGAAATAAAAAAAGTACTTATTATTTCTATACAACATAGAACATACAATGTAACATATGCACTTACGGCAGATAAAATTGTTATATTATTGAACACTGGGACAGTTCTATTTATGCGTTTTACTTTAATATAAAATATAACATAATAATGTAAGTGTCTTGCTACAGGTACTTGTTTGTTATTATCTATTCTACTTTAAATATCCCTTATATGTATATGAAGGTATAAATAAAATGCATTTGACCCAGAAATGCACAATTTTGTAATAACCAATGAAGTAATTTTGGTGACTGTTTACATTTTCAGTTTATCCCCATCAGGGTTGCTAAAGTATCAATGTTGATCTAAGGTAGGGCTGCCATCCGTCCGGGATTCCCCCGATTTGTCCTAGTTTGCAGGGCGTCCGGCAGGGGTTTTTAAAAAGTGTCCGCGTTGTCCTTTTTGTTGTCAGGGAATTATAAATAAGCGATAAATTGAAAAAGTTAAAAATTCATTCATAATAAGCCGCAATAGCGAAAATTGGAAAGACTAAAAAATACCAAAATAAGTAAAAAAAATGATCTCGTTAAAATTAAAAGTTTTAGCATACGTTTTGTTGCATTCTCAAATGTCGTAAGGGATTCATTATATTTGTTGTGAAGAAATATTTGTATTATTAAATTATGAATAAAGCCTTTCGCTATTAAATTAAAGCGTGAAAAAGTTAGTTTTATACAAAAACTAGTAAATAGGTAATTGCATGAGAATCATCTGCGAAACTGATTTGATGAAGTTGTTAAAAATTAGCAGTGAAACAAAATAAACACTACCAATTAAAAACCAGACGAGAAATACTTTTCAGCATTTTTAAGAGTGCTTATTTTCTGACTTATCATTTTTTGATTGAATAAAGAAAAACTTGAGTGGTAATATGGGTACAACATTTATTTCTATGTTAATATTTGGTGCAAGCTTTCGTCAACTATAGTTGACTTCTTCAGGCAATCTGAGGATGGCATTTAATGAAAAGTCCGTCCATCCAACGTGAACTATTAATCGTAGCGGTTTTGCTGGGTACCTTTATATCATGTAGTATTTTTAAAAAGATGATCCCGGTCCTTAATTACTCCCTTATTGAGTTCTCATTCACCTATTCTGTACAAATTATATGTAGAATGCCGTTTACGACCAAAAAACATTTTTAAAGCTCAAACTTTTCGTTTAACTTAAGATTTGTTTAATATATCACATGCAAATACCGCTTAATATATCTGCAGTCTATTCCTGCACTTGGAATTAATTAGGTAATTATTTTTCATAGACCGCGGAAGCTAGTACATACAAGTAAACGTTAAGTTTATTTACGCTTTCACTTTTTAGCTTTAAAGCTATCAATTACTCAGTGATTAATCATACATTTTTTTAATAAATTTTCGTGAGTTTTTGAGTTTCGATAAGAATCTTAAAATGTTTATTATGGATGTATGTGTATATTTTTACTTTATGTACTGAACATACCTCCAAATTTAACATTAAAATTTAAGTAAGCCGACTTTATTTAAGATCAAAGTTACTTACTTACGAATAAGTAAATAAACATTTACCCATATTCACATTTACTTTGAAACGGACGGCGATGATCTCCAGGAAAAAACAAATCGTGGAAGAAAAATGTTTTGAGTATGTATGTAGGAAAGGTTTAAAAATAGCATGCCCAACAAGAAATTAAAATTCTTGTTCTTCTATTTTTACGATAAGAACGATTTTTTAAATATGTGCCTGCCTGAAAAATTCTCCAGAAAAGTAAAATCTCAGCTCATTTTTGATATAATATATTAACTAATAGATAGTTTGTGTAAAATAAAGGAAATATGATTCAACTATGGAAATTTCTTTTATTTCAAATGTATAGTACAACTGTATGAAGAAAAATAAAAGTATTTTGTACACCAAGAGGATTTGTTTTAGAACAGCACCTGTTAAAACTATGTCTATTAAACGTCTACAATATATGAACAAAGTTTCTGACAGAGGAAATTTATATTTTATGTACGTTATCTGTATGACTATGGATTTTTATTTTTTTAACAGATACATTAGGCAAATTGTATTTACTAAGTAGTAGTTTATTTTATTTACAATTAATATAATCAACTTCAATTGAAGTGAATAATTCATACCTACTTTAAGTATATAAGTATTTTCGTTTAATCACAAGACTATTTTGAGTTTATTTCCAAGGGAAAATAATTAGGTATTTTAATTCCCCTAACTATCTTCCATTAGAAATTAATTATAAGATTTTTTAATGGTGACTACTTACTTTTCGTTAAAATTTACATATACGAGGTACGTTTAGAAAATACAGCAACGCTATGAAAAATATTAATTTCTAACAGAATTAGTTGGTCTATATATATTAACTAAATTCTATATATCTCTATCAATTAATTTATTATTATTTTCAAACACTCTGTGTATAATATATACTTTCATATATTTATATATTATGTGTATAATATTGTATGCGTCTAAATTTGAATTTGAACAAGTGTGGCGTTAACCCATTTGGCTTTAGACTAACTAATCTTAAACCACGTCTAAATTTTTTAGAATATCATTCTATACGATAGATAACATATTAATAAACAATATATGGTTTATTTACATTAAATATCTACATGCAAATTCTATAATTTGTAGATGTTTGAATAAAATTCAATACTGATAACAGTAACCGTCTTTCATATTTGCGACGTATATTAGTGCTAAGAAATAATTTTTCGTAAATAGTAACAACAAAATATTAAACAGAAAACGTGTGTATTAGGATATTTAATTTTTTTGAGCAATACAATAAGTTACTTATCAAAGCGTCATATTAATATGTTATGAATTATTTCTTACAAAAAATTCTCTTATTGTACCAAAGCAAAAAAAAAATAATTAATTTATAAATGAATTTACAAAAAATTGAAAAATTAACATCTTAATTCTAGTTATTTCTTCTTTTTTATGTAGACAGGTACTTTAATTGCCCAAGCTTGATACTTTTTCGTAATAAGTAAAATACTCTAGTTACCGAAGCTTACAGAGTGTGAAATAAAAAAAGTACTTATTATTTCTATACAACATAGAACATACAATGTAACATATGCACTTACGGCAGATAAAATTGTTATATTATAGAACTTATTAATATAATAAT